CATGTCAACACAAACCCCACCCCCCCTCCCCAAACACACACACCCCTCCTCTGTTGTGCAGTCTTGTTTGAACCACCAAGGTTAGCTGCTCTCTCCCTGGAGGTAAATTGGGTGGGGGGTGGGGGGGCTGTCTTAGCAGAAAGCACGCTTGTTTACAGTAAGAGATCAGAGTCAGGCGCAGCAGACAGATCAGGTTAGGGTGGATCACAGATTGATCTGTTCAAACTGCTGATCAGTCCCACATTCCAGAGTCCTTTCACTTAAATGCCCAAGAGCCCTAACCTTATCTCTGTCTGCGGCCCTTAGTGCGTGCCTCGCAGGCGATTACTGCTTTGACATTCAGCTTTTAGTTAGGCTCAGGGGGGTAAATAATTTTGGGATGGGTAAGTAATGTTAAAAGAAGCTGTTGTTAGCAGTTTATGAGGCTTTAAGTTAGGTACGGGACCACATAAATCTACACTTCATCAGGTTTAAACAGGTTTTAATACCAACGAGACCTTCTGCAGGTGCATCTGGGCCCCCCCCTCACCCCACCGATGAGTCTGCAGGGTCACCAGAGTGCAACAGCATACCTTTGATCTCAGACCTGTTTTTATTAACTTATGAAAAAGGCCTTGCTTTCAGAGATACATGCTTTTCACTGTGTTGCTACGGTAACAATAAATTACAGCAGGATGCAGGCCTATTGCAGCAGCATGTCACATTTATGGCTTGGAGTTAAGTATGTGAAAGGTTATGATCATCGCAATTTATTTTCCTCACGCAGTTTTATTTTGAGTGAAGGAACGTTTGGTGTGTGAATCCTATATGAAGTTTTATTAATAAGGTCAAAGTATTACTCATTTTAAATTCACACTTAATTCACATTAGTTGTTCCTGTCCTTTCAATCAATACAGCGATGGACTGACCTTGATTTTGTTATGTCTTGTAATGACTTTACTTCTTTTAGTTCAGTGGTCTTGGGGCCTCTGCAGGTATTGTCATCCCAGAGGAGGGCCCCTTCAACGTTTAAGTACAGCAGTTTCTATGCATTTTTATATTATCACTTTATAGCATCTTATATGCAGCCAAACATCAAATGAAAGCCTGAAACCAGCTCTCTTCCTATCAACTGTTTTTTGCAGGATTTGCATCCATTTGATCGTTCACAGAAGAGGAAACATGGAGTGTTGCTGCTGTTTCGTTCTGTCTATATGATCATGTAAATCTCAGGTATAAAAAACAGAAGTGAGGGCTGTGGGAGCAGAGTCGGCTCCACTAGAGGGCACCAGGGAGCAATGCCCCCCCCCCCCCCCC